AAGTGAATATTCAATGAAAGAATATATTAAACTTCCTCTTAACGATTTGCAAAGATTGACTTACAATAAGAGATACTGTGCAATTGTTTGCGATATCTTATATACGATATACATATTATACTGCAATAAAAGCCACTTCGAAAGACTCGAACGTTTCTAAGAACATTTTTCCGATCTGAAAAGGAAATGGCGGTAACGTGATACGCTTAAGTTATTGAAACAAGTGAATTCTCATTTTTCGTGATCACCTAGAACATCTAGGTAACCAGCATGGCAATTAAACGAGATATAAAAAGAAGTCGCATAATATCTGAAATCATCGTTTCGAATTAATTATTGTAATTACCAACCGAGAGTAGGTGTATTTTTGTTAAACCTATGAGAATAATGCTAATTTTCAAAGCTATAGTGTAAATAGCTAACTGTTATACTAAACGGAGCTTTGAATGTGCTATGATAACGTTGATAAAAATATAACGTTGATCGATTAATAATTTTAAATTTAATAATAATATTAATTAATAAATTGATAGGGCTAATTATGCAATGAATTCGATTCTAGCTTTTTTAATGTGCATAATAACACATCGATTAATATGAATAATCAATAATTATGAGTAAATAAGTAATTAATCGAACAAAATGATAAATTTTGGTAGGAAAAAAAATTAAAAGAAAAAAAAATTTTAAAATTGCAAGCGTTAATAAATTGCTAAAATTAATCGATGTAGAATGAATTCTTCTTTCCTGATCGTTTTAAAACGTTCAAAACGTAAAAACGTACAAAGTGAAAGCTTCATTATAATTTGTAAAAATAAATCTCAGTTAATGCAAAACATAAAATCAGCGATAATAATAAAAACTAAAAAAAAAAAAAATAAAAAAAAATAAAAGAACTTATAGGTGAAGACAAAACGTTGTAATTATATTGTCGTATAGAAAATACACTTAAAATTCAAACGCTATGGACCTAGTCGTATTTCATATTAAAGGTTTACCTAAACTCGCCTACTCCCGGAAAATAAAAATATTAATATAGTTTATACATATATATGAAATAATTAAAGTGTGAATGAAAGAAAAAATACTTGATGCACAGATTATTTATTTGTAAACGTTATATATAGTTTCATTATTATCTAATTATTTTTTCGATATATTTTAATTAAAAATATTGGTTTATTTTTAAAAAATGGTAATAAAAATTATACATTATCACGAGATTACATACAAAAAGAGATTAAACAAAAGAAAACACAGAAGTTGGAAAAATCACATTGTGCATCATCATTTATTAAAAATACGTGTACGGAGTATATTATACATTATATTAATTAATAGAATATCTGTACATTCTTGAGATTGAGTATTTCTCTGTTGTGTATTTTTCTTTTATATTTTCCAATGCATTTTTATCGTAAAAACGAAACATACTCCGTACATGATACATACATATAGGGTGTATATAAAGTGTATTACAAGCTTTTTCCTTTGAGACTATTAAAAATAGAAAGAAAAAGATGTATCTAATTGTTATTTGAGATTATTTAATACTTACTATGGATCAAAGAGAAATTTAATAGAATTATTTAATATAATTTTTATATTTTCAAATAGATTTTATTTAATGTTTGATATTTAATTGAAACATTATTCTATATTTCATTTGTAATTTATTTCATTCTTTCGTTAAATCATGGTTAAATCTTTTTTTAATATAAAATATATTATAAATTTATTATATTATTTTAATAAATTAAAATGAATGAATTCTTGATGCATTTAATGATTTGAAAGAAATTATCTTGTAATAGTTTTTGTGATACACCCTATAAGGTGTTTGAATAGTTTCTAATATTTTTCATTATTCATCGCTTGAACTAAATGAATTTGTTTTAACTCTTGAAATATCAAAAAAAAAATTTTACGCTTTTCATTTTTAACAAAATTTTTGATAAATTCAAACATTTTTTTTTCTGTTATAAACTTTCTATAAATACGAGAAGTATTATTTTTCTTGTCTAATAAGATTATATATCTTTTATTTTTATCAAATAAATAAATATTTTATACATTAAATATTAGAATATATTTATATATTTATAATTAATTGTATTCAGTATATTATAAAAAAATATATCATTAGAATCCATTTCATTTATTTTCATCTTGATGTTCAAGAGTTAAGTCAAATACAATTTCGTCTTTTACCGAATAAAAGTTTTATTTAGTGGATATTAATCTGCTAAGAAAAAAAAAATTCTAAGACATTCAAATCACATGTATATAAATCGTATGCTCGATTCTAACGAAGAAAAAATTTAAGAAACAAGAAGCAGAAACTCGATTTATGAAAATCTATTTTAATTTTTTTCGCAGGAAATTTAAACGATGTTAAAAATAAAGCTTAGTCCTTTGCACTCGAAATATGTTTGCTACAAGAATGATGAAAGTTTTTGAAACTGAATATAGAATTTAAGTCTATGAAATACACCGTTTCATTTCATTGAAATTTCAATACAAGTTTCATAAAGTTTTTTCATAAAAGTGGGACAAATATTGCAATTCTACAAGCAATAAATATCGAAATATCAATGGGTTTATCATACAAATATTGCACATCTACTTTTTATAAAATTTTTATATACATCGAAATCACATTTATATATATTATAAATTTATTAAAATTATATTTTACTTTATACATATCCTTATATAGCATTGAATCTTCAAACTTGTTTTTTCTCAATGTGTGAATATATAGTATTTATGCAATAATCTACCAAATACTTTAGAACACAAAGAATTATAGATATCATCGCTAAAATTTCCGAAAATTGCAAAAATAGTAATTGCAATTTATGGAAAAAAATAGTTCTGTCTTATCTAAAATTCTAATAAAATAATAAAAAAAAAAAAACATATTTATCACAATATCTATTAAGTTTACCTCTAAATCTTTGAATTCTTGTACAAGCGATTATCATCTATCGAGTGCAAAGGATTCAAAGTATGTATTTTTAACAAATGTTTACAATGTCGAGCGTCGATTTATTCGAAAAAGCGCGGGAAATAGCGAAGTTCCGGTGGAACTTATCGCGCTAGGGGAATCCCACTAAAACGAACTCAAGAGAAATAAACGATAGTAATGTATTACGCGCAACCCATTATTCAATGCATCAAGTGAATAGAATTAATTCACACGATTGCGTCGAATAAGTTTCATATTGTATTTAAACGATAGGATACGATCAATTCGTTACTGTAGATATATAAACTATCTCTTACTTGTTGTATACGTCAGAATAAATACTTAGATCTTACAACTGTCAGTTTACAGTCAGTTGAAAAATAAGAATCGATAAAAGAGACAAAATGTCGATGGGAAATATCGAAATATAGGGTAAACGATTTCAGAGAGATCTGTTCTCTCTTTCTCTCTTTCTCTATCAATTGTGTCACTCTTGAAGAATTCACGCAATCTATAATAAGAAAGTATATAAGAAGTATTATAGTTTATTGCTTCCATACTGATTATATTATATACATATTTCGATTTGATTAATTACCCAATAATTCACAAAAAGATTAGGTACACGATATTAAATTGCGAATACATATTAATGTATAACGAATATATTCGGTATACTGTCAGACATAACAAGAGAGCCATTAAGTATAATAATATTTTTGTTTTTAAATTTATATTCTGGGCATTTTTATTCAACCCCATCGTTTTTAATAGCATTGTCCTAAATTATACGATAAAATTTTTAATTATATAAAGTCGGATAATTTTTCTATTTTATGAAATTATTAAATTGTATCATTTATAGGTATTATAATATCTTATCTTAATGATTTCCAATTTACGGATCAAAAGAGGATTGCAAAATACTTTTTAGGAATCATTATTATATTTTATTAATGAATTTATTTATTTTAATAGCATGATTGCTATTATTCTATCATAAAGTTATGTTAATTTTTCTTATCTTATATATAAGAAAAAAAAAGAGGAATAAATTCTTTGAATGTTGTAAAAGAAAATCATCACAAAAGATTATAAAAGACATCTATATTCTAAATAACTATGTTAATATAAAGAATAAAAATTAATTTTTAACATCAATATGAAAAAAACGAAAATAAAGGGAAGAAATATTTGTAAAATTAAATTTAAAAATTTATTTATCATTTCTATTTTAAAATATTTATTGCTTATATGTACATATTACAAATATTCTTTATAAAAAAAAAGATAAAAAATATTGTTAATTAACAACATGTTCGTTATATCAATTTCATGTCTCAAATTTTTTCTAATATAAATTTACAAAAAAATTTTTAATATAATTTTTATATTATCATAAGTTTTTTAATTCTTATATGAATATTTTCTTCAAAATATAGTATTCTAATTGACATTTTAATTGACATTTTAGTGCACAATTTTATCATCACAATTTCTTTTTTCTTTTTAATTAACTAGTAGTGGTTTATAGCACATATAGTGTAATTTAAATTTAAAAGCACAAAATTTTGGCAAAATAATGGCAAATTTAATTACAAATGCTAATGCTAATAATATAGAAACGATTTCCATTAACTTTCAAATATTTAGATATTTAGTATATTTCTTCAGTGAATTTTCTTATATGGATTAATAGCACAACGTGTACTTCACTTTTACACGTAATATTTGGTGGACACATCAGTATCGCTGCTAATCACCGCATTTGTAAATAAGGTCAGTTTGCACATGAGTTTAACACTTCAACTGGTAATTTATATGAAATTTAAGTATACAATTACAATATTATGTTTTTAAAAGTGTAATATTATGTTTATATTATATTTTTATTAAAAATTAATTATTTTGTAATAAGATAATTTTCAAATATTTAACATATATTTGACATATTTAACATATATTTAATTAAAAAAAAATTACATAATAAATTTATTTTATTTTTTCTGAATTTGATATTAAAAATTAATATCATATAGCGAATAAAATAATTGATAAGTTGTGTTATCATTTATTATTATTTATTATATATTTTTTTTAATAAAAAAGATATTTCTAATGTATATTAATCTATATTTTTCAGGAAAATACAGTTGAAGAGATTAATTCTTCTCTTGAACAGACAAAAGATGATTTACCACAACCACCACCAAGTACACCAACAAAAATACAAAACCTACCATCACCGTCTTCTATAATAACTCCTAAAGCAATCAGAAGTAGTTTGGCTAAATCTCCTGAAATAGGGTCAAAAAAAAATTCATCGTCTCTTGAAACTATAGAGAAGGAAGATAAAAACAAGAAAAATCTAAGTTCAGAAGATAAAAATATAATGAAAAACAGAACAGCAAAGTCTCCTATAATTTCGCATTCTCTTAATATTTCTCAAGCAAAGAGTCCAGAAAATAGAACAATGAAATCACCTACTTCTTCACACGTTCTTAATAATTCTAAACCAAAAAGCCCAGAAGATAGTCCAACGAAAATACCTACTTCTTCACGTCCTTCCAGTAGTTCTCGATTGAAAAATCCAGAAGAAAAAAAATCATCTACTTCTCCACGTTCTTCTGATAATTCTTCATTAAAAACTCCAGAGGATAAAACAATGAAATCACCTATTTCTCCACATTCCGCTAATCTTCAAGTAAAAAGTCCAGATAAATCTGCCTCTCACATGTCTGGAAAAATATCGCCAAAAGAGTTACGGCTTCCAAAATTGGCACATTCTCCTATACCACAAGAAATTACTACAGTTCCTGAAGCAAAAATTAATTTACCAAAATTGACCGAACGTATTACGCATTAAATTATTTTTCAAATATTTGAAAATAAACTTATTAATTATTAAGAGAAAAAATTTTCTTAAACTGTAAATGAATATATGTACACTGAATCTAGAAAAGCATTAAATATAGTGAAATATTGAACTAATATGTATACGCTTTCTAAATTACTGATTTTATATTATATTGTTGAATATAAAACTCTTTTAAATAATTGTAAAATAAATTTTTAAAAGGCAAATCGAAAAGTAATGAAAGGGAAGGCTTGAGATTTATATTTGCAAATGTGCTACTTTTTTAATAAAAATTTAATTTTCATCTCATTTCTTTTATTACAAAAAGATTAAAAATTTTTTGTTTATAATTAATTTTATGGATATTATGAATTGTCAATATACATCGAATAATTGAAATATAAAAATAAATTTGTTAATTTTATTATTATAATCTTTTATTAGAATGTATTAATATTTTTTTGATTTGTTATATATTATATATTATATATCATATTATTCTATTATTTTTATAATAGAAATATAAAGTATTTCACTACTTTTTTTAATTTATTATTTTTCATGGAAATTATATTTATCAATGTGTTTATACTAATATATTATAAAACAATGTTGAATGTAAATATCAAGACAATATTTACATATGTATAATAGAATTATACATCATAAAATAGAATTTCATTAATTACAAAAAATGAAAAAACATTTTTAATTTAAACTTACAGTTAGATATATTACTTGTATATTATTTAAAATTAACATATATATTAATTAAAAATGATAGTAATTAAAAATATAAAAGTTTTTAAAATAACATACGCATAATAAATAATATGTATAAGTCATTTTTAATGTACATAGCAAAATATATCTTTGTTATATAAACGCATTCAGTATATCGGAAGTAAAAATATATTTTAGTATAGTTTTCCAAAAATATTTGTTTTTATCAATTATATTATTGGCAGTTTTACATTGTAAGAATTACAAATACATAAAAATTAATAATATATCTTAATCAAGTTTTCTTTGGCAGTGGGGGTGGAACTAACGTAACTCCATTAAAATAAGGATGGCTTAATCCTTTTTTTGCTGTTATCCTCTGATTAGGATCATAAGTCAAGAGTTTCTGTTAAAACATATAATATTAAATTTAACAATCTAAAAAATTGTTTTTTTTTATTTTTTATTGAAATAATTTTTACCAAAAGCAAATCTTTGGCATCAGAATCAAAAGAAGGTACAACTTCATCTAAAGGTCGTGGTTCCCATCTTGGAAACATTGATGTATAATCACGTAGTTGTGATACTCCTGGCCAAATATTTTCATCTGGTGTGCCTAATGTACGGAATATCCTGAAGAGTTGGTCTATTTCTGAATCACCTGGGAATAAAGCTCTCCTAGTTGCCTAAAAAAATAATGTAACTTTTTTGAAGAATTAAAATTATTAATAGGGAAATAAGATTTGAATATCCATATTTTATATAAAATTATTACATTGATTTTATTATTTAAATTATCATTACCATTTCTGCAAATATACAACCTAAACTCCAAACATCTACTGCATTGGAATATAATTTTGTTCCTAAAAGTATTTCTGGTGCTCTATACCAAAGAGTTACTATTTCATGAGTATATGTACGAACAGGAACACCAAATGTCCTAGCTAATCCAAAATCTGCTAATTTTATGTGACCCTCCTGATCTATTAACAGATTCTGTGGTTTTAAATCTCTATGTAAAATGCAATGAAGATGGCAGAAAGAAATTGCTTTCAATAACTGATACAAATAACTCTGTAAACATAAAAGACCTGTCTTGAACAATGCAACTTCATTGACTATTCTTTTAATAAAATATGATTCAATTATTGATTAAAAAGTACTTTCCTATATTATATGCATGCACCTATTTTCAATTGTGATTTTTTAAGGCAATACCTTAACAAGAGCTTGATCTAATCCTCCTTTAACGGAATCTAACAACTTTTTTAAATCTTGTTGTAAGAATTCAAAAACAAGATATAGATGATTATCCCCATCTACTACATCAAATAATTGAACAATATTTGGATGTGTGAGTTCTCTTAATAATGATATTTCTCGAATAGCAGTGGATGGAACACCTTCACTTTCCCTGATGCAGATTAACATTAGTTTATTAATATATGTATATTAATATATGTATTTTTTTTTATTATTAATCATAATGATCAATATAAGATTATAAAACTGAATTATCTTTTTTCTTAAAAAATTATAATAAATATATTATTTACATATAAAGCAATTTTTAAAGATATATAAGTTAGTTTTAAATTTAATTAAAATAATAAGTGCATTTTATGTAATGTAAATTGTGTAATTAGTTTAGTAAAATTATCAATTGTAAAAATAGATATTATAAAACAAATACACAGAAGAAAATTCCATTTAAGAACATAGTTTCATTAATTTAAGAACATAGAATTAAATAAAGGATTTAAAATCAAAAACCAGCTGAGCATGACACAATGGGACAAGCTGAATAATGTGGTGCTACGAAAATTTAGTGTAACGTGGCCCCTGCAGATTCAGCTGACCCCAATGTGTAAATTAGCAGATGTGTTAGCAATGCATATAAGCAAAAGCTCTATCAATATGATATTTATTTATTTCATTATCTTCAAAAGTTACTTATATTGTTAAATAAAGAATGATTACATAACATTAATATTTTTAATCCTAGAAACGTGCAAATTACTTGAATATTTGCAGGGTGAAAAAAATATTAGTTATATAAAAAGTCAATATTTTGATTTCTAAAAAACATATGATTTCAGTTTAATAACAATCTTTATATTCTATATAATCTATTATTTTATGTTAATTTAATTTAAAGTAGAAAATCATATTTTAAATATATTTAAAATATTTATTATTAAAAATATCGAAAAAGCAAAACATATTCTCTGATCATAATAAAAAAATTTCTATAAATTCTATAAATTGTTATATTCTAAAATAATATATAATAATATATAATATATAATAAAAATAATTATTTCCATTAAATATTAAATATATATTTATTAAACATGTATACAATATCATTGACTATTCATTTAATAAAATATAAATCAAAAATTAAAAAACCTATTTTCTTACATATATATACATGAAAATGAAGATCTATTAAATATTTTTTGATTATTAAAACAAAAAAAAATATTATCCAATAGAAATCAAATTATTAGTTTTAACAATTAAAAGTTTACTCTATAGAATATTTACTAGATTTCTAAATACACTAAAATATTTGATTTCATTTTAATATTAATAATTTTAAATTAATTTTAAATTGTTATTAAAAGTATTATATGTTTATTTTGCGGTTAATATAATATGGTTATAACTATACATCACCCGGCATAATATAAATATTAGAATAAAAATTCCAGATTTTTATATATTAATATTACAATCGACGTACGTCTCAAGACGAATCTTTTTAAGTGCCACCAGTTTTCCAGTTAACTTATCTTTGGCTTTATAAACCACCCCATAGGTCCCTTCCCCTATTTTTTCTATCTTGACGAAGTTGTCCATAACCTCAACGTCACGTTCGACGTTGTCACTCTTGTTTTGACACTCCGTCGTAATTGCCAATTTTTTATCACCGTTCCGAAATGTTTTGAAATTTTATATCGATGAGACATCGACAAACAATGTTGACGATTAATAACCTTATAGGAGCCGTTTTAATAAAATTCTTTGTTTATCAACACTAATAATCCACTTGACATGCGTGCTTCAAAGTAGCCATTTTTATTAAGGTTTAGAATAATCGATTCGAGAAATCGATACAATTACATGAGTAATCGCTTTATTAAATAATCACTAATGTAACAGGTGAACGAACTAAATAAACATTCAGTTCATTATCTTGTATATTATTATATAATTAATAATTAATTTATTTTATTATAGTTATAATATAATTAATTAATCTATCAGTAAGTACAAGATAATTATTTATGTATACATTGTAAGTATTTCATAAATTGTTTTCTAAATTTTTTTAAAGAAATTATTATATTATTTGTTTGTATTTAAACAAATAAATGCAAATTAAGATATTTTTTTTAAGTTTTAAGAAGTTTTTAAGTTTTATTTTGAAATAAAATAAAATTTTTTAAATTTCTTGATATTTTAATTTATGTAAAATCGTAACGAAATGAGAAATATAAAAATTAATTACATAAATCAAAAAATGAATTTTATTTTTCAAAAATAAAAAATAGAATAAAAAATTTTACTAGAAACTTTTAAATATATTTATTTAAAAAAAATTCTATAAAATAGATATATATACATGTATATAAGACATAATATATATATATACATATATATATATATATATATATATATATATATATATATTATATATATA